TCCCAGGAGGGGCTCTTTGGTCCCAGCTGCTGTGAGGGCTCCAGCAGGGGGCCCCCAGGGAGGGGCTGGCTGTGCCAGTCAGAAGCACAGAATCCGGTTGGCCAGGGATCCTGGCCTGTAACCCCTGGGGCAGCTTGAGGGGTGGGCAGTGAAGTTCCGGCTCTGGCCCCATGTGTGGGGTCTGCGGAGATGTTGGACAGAGGACTTGGGCCAGCTGGTGCCAGGAGTGAGCCTGGTATACAAGGCAGCCTGGCTTCCTTGGAAGTGGTGGCCCTTGAGCTCTGGGTGGGTGGCTGGGGGTCCTCTGTGCTCCACCCCTTGCCAGGAGGGTCATGGGGAGACCAGGAGAGCAGTCGCCATGGGCAGGCCCTGGCACAGAGGCGGTGCCCCTGACACTGAGTCACAGGCCTGGGGCTACTGCTGCCTCAGAGGAGTAAGTCTGGGCGGCGGGAGGAGCCTGGACTGTAGCCGCCCATCCCGAGCCCGTGGCTGGGCCCACCCTGCTTGCCAGCCTCCGTTCTCCTGGCGGGTCCATCCAAGCGGGGCTGGAGAGGAGCGGGCTGTGCCGCGTGGTGTGTGTGGGCTCACAAGCCTCTTCATGCTCCAGGCAGGTGCCCAAGTGGGGGCCGGCGGCTGAGGAGCACACCCCCGCCCGTCCCCACCACCCCAGATCCAAGGGCAGGCCAGCCCCACCGGGGCTTCCTGGCCCCCCGGGGGCTGACTGGCAAGCGTGTGACAGGCCCAAGCGGAATGTGTTGAATGACTAAAGGACTGATAGTCTGGGAGGAGCATCTTTCCCGGGCTGCTCCGTGGACCCTGGCAGCCCTGGAGAGGCCGCTTTCCTTGCAAATGCTCTCCACCCCTACCGTCACACTGCCGAGCAGGACGCGTGTGGCTGGGCAGCCCCCCTGGGAGGCGCGAGGCTGATCTGCCATGGGAACCCCTCCTGCCACCTCCATCAAATTAGAGGACGCTGGGCCCCTGCTGCTGGCTTAGACTTGCCCCAGGGGTCCTGGGGGCCACAGAGCAGCTGGGGAAGCAAGGTGCAGACCCCCGCGGCCCCCCCCTCACTCGTAGGCCTCTGGCCCGCAGAAGGAGCCGTCTGCACCCTCCCCCGCAGGCGGGGAGGGGTGGTCAGGGGAGCGGGACCCTGTGTTCCTGAGCTGGAGCCCCCTCCTCCAGCCTGTCCACCAGGGGAGCGTCTTCCCCTGCACCCTAGACATCGGAGGGTCCTTGGCCTCAGGCTCACCGAGACCACCCCAGATACGCTGTGTCCCGCCTACACCTGGCCCAACCGGGGTCTGGAGTCGCTCCTGTGTCCCTGAGCCTGGCGCCTGTCCTGGGGGTGAACCTGGGGAGCCCAGTGTCGGGGCTGAGGCTGAGGGTCCGCCCAGTGCCCTGTGCCTTGCCCATACCCGCCTGGCTCCTGGGGATCTCACTCTGTCCCACTGGGGCCCCACCCGGGACCAGCCAGGGTGACGACGGCAGTGACCACCGCCTGGGGTGGTGGGCGGGGAGGTGTGGCTGCCTACCCCAACGTCTGGAAGCTTCCAAGGCAGTTCCAGGCAGCCTGGAGCTCCTGGGGGTGAAGGGGGAACTTGGGAGTCAGGGCCTGGCTGCTCCAAGCAGCGAGCAGGCTGGAGGAAGGGGCGCTCGGCCTGCGGTGTTGCTGGCAGAGCAGGAGAGCGTGGAGGGGGGCCCGGCAGGTGGACCACGGCAGGGCCAGGTCAGGAGGGCCCCGGGGGCCCCCTGCCCACCCGGGCCTGGGGGCCATGGCCCTGACAAGCCAGCAGTGCGGCCCGTGGGTGCAGACCCCGAGTGCCTGCGGAAGGCTTTGCTCCCAGGGTTCGGCCCGTCTGCGACAGCCCCACCCAGCACTCCGTGCTCCTGAGCCCAGCAGTGCGCGTCTCCCTGGAGCCCCCATCATGACCGCCTCCCTGACGCCCCTCAGCTACACACAGCCCTCCACCCCAGGGAGGAGAACAAGGGGCGGTGGGGGGCGGCGGGGAGCTGCCCTGCCTCTGAGCTCCTCCCGGAGGGGCCCAGCTGGGCGGGCAGCCCTGGGTGGGTGAGCTGTCCCCAGTCTCCTGGCTGCAGTGGACCCGGGCAGGGAGCCCCGGGTGTCCCCTTGCCAGACGAGGGGCCCCGCTGGTCCCAGCACACCGAGCCTCCCAGGCCCGGCACCTCCAGACCCCGCCCCCAGCACTCAGGATCGCAGCTGCCCTCGCCCCTGCCCGCTCTCCGGAGACCGCTACCCCCCTCCACCTGGGACCCTCCTCGGGGTGCCTGCTGAGTGCTCCCAGGAGCACAGGCCGAGGGGCTGCAGGGCAGAGGTCACCGCCCCTGGGATACACGGGGCGGAGGCGGGGCTGGTGCGAGAACCCCTTGGCAGGGTCTGAGCGAGGAGGGCAGCCGGGATCTCCCGCCAGGGTGGGCAGGCGGGTGACAGCCTCTCTCCTCTCCCCATGACAGCAGGCGGGGCCCGAGGCAGCCGACGCCCCCCAGTCAGCGCAGTCGCGGACATGGACCGAGTTGCTGGTGCACCGCTGGGGCTGGCCAGCAGCGTCCCGGGGGTGCGGACGGCCCCCTGGAGGCCACGGGCCGGCGGGGCCCCGACATCAGCCCGCCTTGCCCCGAGCCCCGTCCCCGGAGGGCCCGCACACCGCCCCTGGGATACACGGGGCGGAGGTGGGGCTGGTGCGAGAACCCCTTGGCAGGGTCTGAGCGAGGAGGGTGGCCGGGGTTTCCCGCCAGGGTGGGCAGGCGGGTGACAGCCTCTCTCCTCTCCCCATGACAGCAGGCGGGGCCCGAGGCAGCCGACGCCCCCCGGTCAGCGCAGTCGCGGACATGGACCGAGTTGCTGGCGCACCGCCGGGGCCGGCCAGCAGCGTCCCGGGGGTGCGGACGGCCCCCTGGAGGCCACGGGCCGGCGGGGCCCCGACATCAGCCCGCCTTGCCCCGAGCCCCGTCCCCGGAGGGCCCGCCAAGCCCAAGGCCAGCCCACACCACGCCACCTTCGTCTGAGGCTGCGGCCCGCCAGCCAACTCTGTGGACCCTGCACCCAGGCTGCCGGCCGGGACAAGCGCGTGGAGAGTGGTGGTCTTCAGGGGGCAGCTGAGCCCCCCATCGGGGGCCTCGGACAGGCCAGGTCAGCTGCCCCCGGGGGCCTGGCCTCAGAGGCCCGCCAGGGCTGGCTCAGAGGGCTGGTGGCCCGGTCCCTGCTGCTTGGAGCCCAGCCTTCCCGCAATAAAGTGTCAGTGCGGACCCGACTGTCGGCCTCGTGCTGGGTCCTGGGGCAGAGGCCCTGTCCCCAGGGAGCCGTGGCCCCTGTGGCCCTGGGCACGTCGCGGGGGACGGGCCGGGGAGAACCGGCTCAGGGGGTTGAGGTCAGCGGCGGGCAGGGAGACAAGGCTGACCTCAGGGGATGCGGGGCCCAGTGTGTGGGCGGCCGGCCGAGGTCCTGCAACATCCAGGCCCCATCTTGTCTACTCCACGCTATGTGCCAGGGGCCCCGCAGGGTCGTCCTCTCAGGGCGGCTGCCAGTGGGGGCGGGGCTCAGCCCGGGCACCCGTCAGGCCACCCTGCCCCAGCCTTGTGTAGACAAGTGGTCTGGCAGGGCCAGGCTGCAGTTACCATGTCAGGGGAGCCCTGCCTGCCCGAGAAGGCCTGGGAAAGGGCGGCAGCCTGTGCAAAGGCCCTGAGGCTGGGGCCTGGGGGGGGACAGGGTGGCAGCCAGGCAGCGGGCAGGGCGTGGGCTGGAGGGAGGCAGAGATGGTGCTGCAGGCCCAGGCTCCTGGGCGGACGGAGCCAGTGCTGAGCGCCCTGCCCCAGGAGACATGCTCCAGGTCTGCAGAAGGGCCCTAAGTCTCAGCACGCCCGGGGCCACGGGCTGTGCCCTGAGCTGGGCCTGAGAGTGCCTGCGTGGAAGAAGGCCCGGCGCCTACTGCCTGCAAAGCTGGGTGCCCCCGTTTCTGCGCTCCCTCTCTCTGCACAGAGGGCAAACGGGGGCCCAGAGAGGGCAATTTGGGGGTGTAGTGAGGCGGCTGCAGTGCCAGGCCAACCCTCTGGGGCAGCCCTTCCCTCCGCCCCGTGTCAGCAGTTGAGCTGACTCATGGGGATCGGGGTCTCCTGGCCTCTGTGACCCCCTCAAACTGCTGAAGCGGGTCCCGGAGCAGCTCTGCCCGTGGCTGCAGTCACAAACCAAAGGCCGGCTGGGGCGACGACTCCAGCCGTGTCTGGGGGGGCAACACCCTGTCCTCGTTCATGGGTCAGGGAGCAAAGTGCCCCCAGACCAGGGCAGGGCCCCAAGCTGGGTTCTCTGTGGGCCCGCGTGCCTGGCCAGGGGCTCGGGAAGGGGGAGGTGGGATGGCACAGGTGGTCCTGGGTGGTCCTGGTCCTGGGCTTCCGGAGGCCTGTGGGTCCAGGAGCTGTGGGGGCGGGGTGCTGGGGGCAGGCCTCCGCCCTGCTCCCCTCGCACGGGAGGCCCCACCCCAGGCTCTCCCTGGGAAGGGACAGACGGAAGTGCTGTGGAGGATGGTGGCGGAGGTCCCTGTCCGGGGCCTTGTCCTCAACTCTCAGCCCAGTGCGCACACGCTCCTCTGCGCCGGGCCTTCTGGTGGCCATGGGGCCGCACCAAAGGGCCCAGCACGTACAGCTGCTCTGCTTGGTACAGCTCATAAGTACACAGTGGCCAGCCCTCTGGCTGGGTGGGGACCGGAAGCTGGGATTGGGGGGCCCAGGCCCCTTCCTTCCACGTCATCCTGGAAGACTTCCTGGAGGAGGCGTCTGTGCCGAGCCTGGAGGACGCGGTCAGGTCCAGGAACAGCATGGCGGAGGCGAGAGGGGACCACTGGCCCAGGCAGGGTGAGCCGGGCGGCAGATACGGCGGATGTACGGGTCTCCCGGCATGGGAGGCAGCCAGGGTTAATCATTTGCAGGCGGCCTTGACCGTCACCCTGCTCCCGCGTCCCGCTGCTCCTCACGCCAGCCCAGGAGGAGCCATGGGGCGCTGGGCCCGGGTCGCCAGCCCCTGCCCCTCGCCCGGGTCGGCCCTGCTGCTGCTGCTGCTGCTGCTGCCTCGCGGGGCACAGACCCAGGCTGCCAGGGTGAGCACTGACCCCAGCACTGTGACCACGGGCTACCCTGGGCCCATTCCGGGTCGTGGGGCGAAGCCAGGGCAGGGTGTGGACTGGGTGAGGGGCCCAACGTGGGGACAGCAGAACTTCGCCGCCGAGGTAGGCGTGCTGGGCTGGCCTGGGGGACAGAACGTCGGGGCTCCAACTTGCTGGTTCCCTGCTCGGGGGCTGCTCCCTGCCCTCTGGGCCTCTGTTGGGTCCACGTGTCTGAGGTTGGTGGGGGGGCTCCGAAGGCCACACAGCTGCTCTCGTCCGANGTGTCTGAGGTTGGTGGGGGGGCTCCGAAGGCCACACAGCTGCTCTCGTCCGACCCCAACCCCAGGATTCAAGCCCGGATGGCAGTGGTGCTGCTGTCCCGGCTCCTTGGACTGGGCGGGCGGGGAGGGACAGTGTTCAGCTGCAGCCGGTGTCCCCTGGTCCCCACTCCGAGGCCTCAGGACGCCAACATGCAAACGGAGGCAGGTCCTTGTGTGAGGGGCCCGCCCCACACCCCCCATCACAGCCCTCTCCGTCCTTCCCAGAGCCAAAGGGAGCCCCCAGAACACAATGCCACAGTAACTCCTGCGACCCCTGTAACGTCGGCGACCCCCAGCACTGCAGCCGCGGGAGCACTCCAGGCAGAGGGGCCCCCTGGTGGCGGGCTCACCCCCCTGCCCAGGGGAGCCCCCTCCAACAGCCCTGGGGGCACAGGTGCGTTAGGAGAGCTTCTTGGAGGAGGCAGCGGTCTGGGAGGACCGCCGCAGCACTAGGGGGTGGAGTGGGGAGGGTGATGGTGGTCGGAAGGCATCCGGCGCGGGAACCCTTGACCACCGTTCCCTCCCCGCACCCCCGCCACCCCTACAGTGCTCACCGAGGCCGGGCAGCCCTGCAGGTTCCCCTTCCGCTACGGCGGCCGCATGCTGCACTCCTGCACGGCAGAGGGAAGCGCCCACAGGAAGTGGTGGGTCCCCGCGCCCCCGTGTCCACCCTGGAGGCCCTCCCACCCTCTGCCCTCTGCCCCCCCCCGACTCCAGCCTGAGGCTGGCATGCAGCAGGTGGAGTGGACGAACGAGGGCCTGAGCGGGAGAGCGCTCCAGGGCGCCCTGCAGGGAGTCGGGGTCACACCGAGCCAGTCTGTGGGCGCACCCCCCATCAGCGCACACCTCACCCCCAGGTGTGCCACGACCCACAATTACGACCGGGACCGGGCCTGGGGCTACTGTGTGCAGGACCCCGCTCCCCGGGGGCGCCCAGGTGGGTGCCCAGGCGTCTGGAGCCGGGGTGGGGGTGATCTCCTGGGGGCGTCAGAGCTGAGCTGCGGTGGGGGGTCCTGTCCTGTCTGCGGCTCATCCCACTGCAGGCCTGGGGGCTGGAGGAGTGGGGAGTGGGGATCACCCGCCCACCCACAAGGCAGGGTCCTGCCCTCTCTGGGGGCCACAGAGCTGCTCTGGCTATTGCTGGGGCCACGCCGCCCCCTGCTGGTCAGGCTCAGCCCCACAGGGCTCGAGGGGTCCCGGCACAGGGCCGCAGACCGGGAGATGTGCTCCTGGGGCCAGGGCGCTCCAGGGGCCTGTGCTGCCTGCGGCGGGTCCGGCTTTCAGGGTGTTGGATGTGGAGTCAGAGGCCCACCTGCCTGGGGTCTGAGAGCTGGGCAAGGGTGGGGAGGACGGAGGCCTGCAGGGCACACACGCCCCGAGGAGCCTTAGAAGGGGTATCTTGAAGGCGGCGGGCCCTTGGCAAGCAGGGAGCGTCGCGGTGCGGGTGCGGGGCTCTCAGACAACCCCCTCCTTCCCACGTGTGCCCAGCCCCCCGGGACCCCTGTGCCTCTGGCCCCTGCCTCCACGGGGGCTCATGCTCCAGCACGCAGGACCCCGAGTCGTACCACTGCACTTGCCCCGCGGCCTTCACCGGCCAGGACTGCGGCACAGGTGAGCGGGGCGGCGGGGCGGCGGGGCGGCGGGGCACCGGCCACGGGCGGGGAGCAGCAGCTCACTGTGGCCCCCCAACCCTCCCCAGAGAAGTGCTTTGATGAGAGCCGCTACGAGTACCTGGAGCCAGGCGATCGCTGGGCCCGTGTGCACCAGGGCCGCGTGGAACAGTGCGAGTGCGCGGGGGCCCAGGTCCGCTGCGAGGGGACCCGCCACACAGGTACTCAAGGGCGCAGCCCGGTGGGGCGGGCCACGTCACTGAGCCTGCCCTCGGGGAAAGGGACTTCCCAGGGCCACCCAGAGAGGGGCACCGGGGCGGGAACCAGGCCCTGACACCCGCCCCCTCGCCCCCGGTTTGGGGCCGAGGCCTAGCTCCCGAGTGCTCCCCCGCAGCTTGCCTGAGCAGCCCCTGCCTGAACGGGGGCTCCTGCCACCTGATCGTGGCCACCGGCACCACCGTCTGCGCCTGCCCCCCAGACTACGCCGGTCGGCTCTGCAACATCGGTGAGTCGCCCAGCCTTGGAGCAGGGTGGGCCCCGCGGCCCGTGGCCCAGGCTCACCGCACTCCCTCTGCCCACAGTGCCTGCTCAGCGCTGCTTCGTGGGGACGGGCACAGAATATCGAGGTGTGGCCAGCACGGCGGCCTCGGGCCTCAGCTGCCTGGCCTGGAACTCCGACCTGCTCTACCAGGAGCTGCACGTGGACTCCGTGGGCGCCGCGGCCCTCCTGGGCCTGGGCCCCCACGCCTACTGCCGGTCAGCACTGTCCCCACAGCCCTGACCCCTCTGCTCGGGAGGCCGCCCAGGGAGCGGAGCCTGGGGCTGGAGCTCAGAACCTTCTGCAGGAGCAGAAGCTGCTGGGCGGGTCAGGAACCCCCCCAGCAGGCGTCCCCATCTCCTCCCCTTGCCTCTGAGGGGCCGTGACCCACGCCCACCCGCTTGTCCCCGTCCACCAGGAACCCAGACAAGGATGAGAGGCCCTGGTGCTACGTGGTGAAGGACAACGCCCTCTCCTGGGAGTACTGCCGCCTGGCGGCCTGCGGTGGGCGCAGCAGCCGGAGGTGGTCACACGGCGGCCTCGGGCCTCAGCTGCCTGGCCTGGAACTCCGACCTGCTCTACCAGGAGCTGCACGTGGACTCTGTGGGCGCTGCGGCCCTCCTGGGCCTGGGCCCCCACGCCTACTGCCGGTCAGCACTGTCCCCACGGCCCTGACCCCTCTGCTCGGGAGGCCGCCCAGGGAGCGGAGCCTGGGGCTGGAGCTCAGAACCTTCTGCAGGAGCAGAAGCTGCTAGGCGGGTCAGGAACCCCCCCAGCAGGCGTCCCCATCTCCTCCCCTTGCCTCTGAGGGGCCGTGACCCACGCCCATCCGCTTGTCCTCGTCCACCAGGAACCCAGACAAGGACGAGAGGCCCTGGTGCTACGTGGTGAAGGACAACGCCCTCTCCTGGGAGTACTGCCGCCTGGCGGCCTGCGGTGGGCGCAGCAGCCGGAGGTGGTCTCGGGAGGAGCAGGGTGGGCACCGGGCTGGCCCCACCCCCACTGGGGTCTCCCCACTCCACCCCCATGCCCAGCCGCCTCTCCCCGGAGGACCATGGGCCCATCTGAGAGATGGGGAGACTGAGGCTCACCACAGTGGGGCTGGACCAAGGCCACGCAGTGGGTCAGGACCAGAGGTCAGGGGGCCCACGCATTCTGCACTGTGCCCCGACAGTCCCCACGGACACGGATAGCTGGGTGTCCCTGGGGTTAGCCCCTGGGGGGTAGGTGGCTCCAAGAGGCCAGCCTGCCCTCTGGCCCCGTTGCCCCAGGGCTCCCTGACCCATCCCGGGTTGGCTCTGGGGTCCCAGGCTGCTGGAAGGGATAGGAACCTGCCAGGTATGCTGGGCCACCCTGGCTCCCGCAAAGCCTGTGATCAGGTGCAGTTCTCCCCATCCTGCAGATGAGGAAAACTGAGGCTCAGGGTAAGTCCTGTGCCCCGCCCAGAAGAGCAGAGCTGGGCCTGAGCTGGGGTCCTCTTTCAGAGGAGCTGCCTAGGCTGGGGCTGGAGGCCAGTGAACCACTGGGGGCCTAGAGAATCCTGGACACAGCCAGGACCTGCGGCGCGATCCAGTGGTCTGTGTCCCCAGAATCCCTTGCCAGGATTCAGCCCCCGCCCACCGAGGCCCTGCTGACCCTCCCTGGGCCCGCGGCTGCTGGGCCAGCTGGACGCCAGACCTGCGGCAAGAGGCACAAGAAGAGAACCTTCCTGCGGCCGCGCATTATTGGCGGCTCCTCCTCGCTGCCCGGCTCCCATCCCTGGCTGGCCGCCATCTACATCGGGAACAACTTCTGTGCAGGGAGCCTCGTCCACACCTGCTGGGTGGTGTCTGCCGCCCACTGCTTCTCCAACAGGTGAGCGGCCCTGGGCCCCCGTGTCCACGATCCATCCCTGTGTCCCCCCTCCAACNGCCACTACACTTGGGCAAGGATTTTAGCCCCACTTCCTTGAATGCCTCTCCTTTAAACTATAGGTTAATATAAAGATTCCAGGATGCTCCCACAACCTTGTCTTCTTAAGTATGCCTCTCCCCTCCTCTTCTTTTCTCCCAGACTCTAGCACTATCAGAAATTTCTCTTCACAGTTGCAGTTCCTCCCTGCCCTTAACCTTTGTCCTTTCAAACTCAGTTTTGGTAGATTACACTTGAGTTTTTGAACCTGGCACAGGCTGGCAGAGTCAACAGTTCCTCCAGACACAAGTAGTCACTGCACTCTGGTAGGGCTACTAGGTCCAGCAGAGAAATCTGGGACGCTCAGTTAAACCTGAATTTCAAATAAGCAGTGATTTTTTTTTTTAAAGTATAAGTATGTCCCAAATACTGCATGGGAGATATTTACACTAAAATAATTGTGGTTGTTTTTTTTTTGTCAGAAATTTGAATTTAACTGGATGACCTGTATCTTATCTGGTAATACTATGATTCAGGCATCTGACCTAGATGGGCCTGAAAGTGAAAGTGAAAGTCTGTCATTCATGTCCGACTCTTTACGACCCCATGGACTGTAATTCTCCAGGCCAGAATACTGGAGTTGGTAGCCGTTCCCTTCTCCAGAGGATCTTCCCAGCCCAGGAATCCAACCTGGTCTCCTGCATTGCAGGCGGATTCTTTACCAGCTGAGCCACAAAGGGAGACCAAGAATACTGGAGTGGGTAGCCTATCCCTTTTTCCAGGGGATCTTCCCAACCCAGGAATCCAACCCGGTCTCCTGCATTGCAGGCAGATTCTTTACCAACTGAGCTATCAAGCAAGCCCTCTAGATGGGCCTAGATGACCTAAACTGTCTCAAGCCTGAGCTGTGGCCTGACCAGGTATCATGTGCCTAGCAGAGTGGAGAAAGAAGGACTTCCTTGCACCTAGGCTTTTCCACAGGCGCCATTTGTGGAAAATCAGCTTAGGAACCTCCTGACCCTAGCAAGCCCAAGAAAGGCTGGAGTGACATTCCTAGTTCAGTTAGGGTGCCATTTCTCTTTAACCGGGCCAGGAGCCATCTTAGTGAGGCTCTGTGCAGGGATTTGTATTTAAAATGAGCCCCCTCCTGGCCCTGCCAAGAGAACCCCTCAGCTCTCAGAAGGTGGGGGGCTGAGGTGAATGGAGGGAATGGGGGGAGGGAGGAGGGGAGGAGGAGGGGGAAGGTTGCCTGCAGTTCCCTCCTGGGCCTCCCAGGACACAGCCCCGTGGCCCAGCGGGCTGCACCCCATGTGACTCCGTGGCCACCTTCGGCTGTCACTGGCTCCCGCGCAGCAGGCTGACCTCCGACCTCTCTCCCGCCCAGTCCTGATCCGGCTGGAGAAGAAAGGGGAGCGCTGTGCTGTCCGCTCCCAGTTTGTCCAGCCCATCTGCCTGCCTGAGCCCGGCAGCCCCTTCCCCGCGGGACACAAGTGCCAGATAGCGGGCTGGGGCCACCAGGATGAGAGTGAGTGCGGGCAGGGGGCCAGGGTCGTGCCCCCAGGAGCGGTGGCCCGACCCAGCCTGAGCTCCCCCCGCACCCCGTGTTGGCCCGCAGACGTGAGCGGCTACTCCCCCTCGCTGCGGGAGGCGCTGGTCCCCTTGGTCGCGGACCACAAGTGCAGCAGCCCCGAGGTGTATGGGGCCGACATCAGCCCCAACATGCTGTGTGCCGGCTACTTCGACTGCAGGTCGGATGCCTGCCAGGTTAGCCTGGACAGCCCGCTGCCCCGGAGCTCAGAGCCAAAAGCAGCCAGACCCTCAGGGCCAGCCAGGAGGTGGAGTGGGAGGCCTACCTCCCAGTCGCTGGTTGCCCCCAGGATGGGTGCTCACCCGTGCCGGGTCCCAAAGCCTGGGCACGTCGAACCAAGGGCAGGACTGTCCACGTGACACAGAAGGCCAAAGCCCATCTCACCCCGTGCTCTTCCACGTGGGCTCGATCGGTCTGCTGATCCCAGTAGCCCGGTTATCAAGGCCTGGTTGGGGGGCTGCGCCTCAGGGCTGAGATGGAGAGGCTGCTTTACTCCCTAGTTCATAGGTGGGGAGACACGCCCAGAAGGGTCTGCACGCTCTTCCTGGGTTACCCATCCGAGAAGTGGCAAAGGGTGTGGGGGCTTGCCCCTGGACCACGAGGTCCAGCATGTGCCTTGTGGAAGGTCAAGGATGGCTTCACGGAGGAGGGGGCGCTTGCACCTGTCCTGAGGGGTGAATAGGAGTTTGCCAGGTGGTGAAGAGGGCGTTTCCAGCAGGGTGCCAGCTGGTGGGTGGGTGGGGAGCCAGACTGAGGAGGTCTGCTCGCTGTGGAGGTGGAGGGAGGCAGGGCAGGGCCTGAGGAACGGTGGTCCAGGAGCCGGAGGCCTCGCTTCCTCTGGGGCTGGGGGAGCACAAACAGGACCGCTCCCTCACTCGGGATGCCTGTGTAGTCCGCTCCCCCCAGGCAGCTGGGGGTCTACCTTGACGGTCTGCACCCCAGGGCAGCTCTGGACCCCTGCGGAGGCACTTTCAGGGTTGGGGTGCAGGAGGCTGGGGTGAGGGGTGGTGGGCGGTTTCCAGGCGGGTCTCAGGCCCTGATGGGTCGCTCTACACAGGGAGACTCCGGTGGGCCGCTGGCCTGCGAGAAGAACGGCGTGGCCTACCTGTACGGCATCATCAGCTGGGGCGACGGCTGCGGGAGGCTCAACAAGCCTGGTGTCTACACCCGCGTGGCCAACTATGTGGACTGGATCAACGACCGGATTCGCCCCCCCAAGCGACCCTCGAGTCCCTCCTGAGCCCTGCCCACCCCCACCTCCCCGCCATTCCCTCCTTGCTGCCAATAAAGATGTTTCCAAGACTCCAGGTCTACACTGCGGTTCCCTCTGCCCAAGCCCCCCAGCCCTGCCTTCCCTCCCAGGCCATGACCCCCCCCAGCTTTGTGGATGACATGCCCTCAGGGCTGGGGGGCCCCCGAGCCAGCACCCCAGCTTCCCTTCCTCAGAGAAGGGAGCCTGTGATCCCAGCAGGAGGGGTCTGGCCCCACGGCCTAGAGACTCAGGTCAAGAGATGCAAGATGGGGCGTCCTCCCCAGCCAGGCTGCTCTCAGACCCTCCTCTGCCCTGCCCTGACCCCCAAACTGCTCCGGCCACCCTGGCCTCCCTGTGTTCGTGAAACGGACCAGGCTCCTTGCTCACCCTGCTCCCACTGCTGCCTAGAAAGTTCTGTCCCCTGCTGCCCCTCCCCCTCCACTCAGCCTCTTGATGTCCCTGGAGGCCTGGCGGTCAGGTCCTTTCCAGTCCCTCCCCATCGTCACGCACACAGGTAGGCACAGACCCCTCACCTCTTGGCCCCGTCTCAGTCAGGACTGCGTTCGGACCTGACCAATGGGGCTGGAGAGCTTTGCTTCCCTCCCGTAGCAGGAAGTCCAGCCACAGCCCCTTTTATCAGGAGAGGAAGGGTTTCCCCAGAGACCCCTTCTCCAGCAGATTTTGTGTTTCGCTCTCATCTGCCCGAATAGGGTCACGTGGCCACACGCAGCTGCTGGGGAGGCTGGGAGGGCAGGGAACAATTGTCAGGACAGGATTGGACACATTGCCAGGAAGGCACCCAGCCCCCTGGCAAAGCCAGAGGAAGAGAGATGGCCTCCGTGGGTGCCTGCTGCCCCAGCGCTGGGTGGGGCTCGGAGCCTGCGGTGGACCGGGAATTGCTGTGTTGGCCACAGCCAGGGTGGCAGAGGCTGGTGCTGGCCACCCCTGTCCCGTGGAAGGCACAGCAGCTCCCGCTGGTGGACCTGGGGCCTCTGACTGCCCGTCCTCGGCCTCTAGGAACAATGTAGCTTCAGGTTCCCCACATCGTTGCCTGCTGTGAGCGCTCCCCGACCTCATTCTCTGTGGGTGTGGAGTGTGGATCTGTTAAAGAGGTGACGTGCGTCTACAGATGGTCTGACGTCAAGCCAACCTTGCATTCCTGGAGCGAGCTGTGTTGGGTCAAGGAGGGAGCCCTCCCCACCTCACGCTGTGCCCCGTCTGCTGACCCCGACGGGCTGCGTCAATGGGCGCCTGTGCCCTCGGGTGGGGGGAGCCCAGCAGGAGGTCAGGGGAGAGGGGAGCGTGAGATTGGGGTGTTGATTTCCCTGGCTCCCCCTTCTGGGGTGACCTCAGTGTTACAGGTTGGATTGTGTCCTCCCCAAGTTAATAGACTGGAGTCCAAACCCCCAGGATCTCAGAATGTGACCTGATTTGGAAAGAGGGTCTTCAGAGAGAAGGTCATGTTAACATGAGATTGTTGCAATGGGCCCTGATCCAATATGACCATGTTCCCGTAAGAAGGAACATTGTGCTCGCAGAGACACCCACAGGAGGAAGGTGATGTGAAGAGACGCAGGGGGAGACGGCCGTCCACAGGCGAGGCCGGAGGCCTGAGCAGGTCTTTACAACGGCAGGAAGGACCCAGCCCTGCCGACGTCCTCATCTTGGACTTTGGGCCTCCAGGACGGTAATTTGTCCTGGTATCCCAGCAAAGGGTACACCCGATCCCTTACCTGAAGGTCACACTCCTCCCAAGGTGTAGATCAGGCCCCTTTGTGGTTCAGGGACCTCCCACCCCCAGGTCTTGAAGCAGTTCCACATCTCTCTAACCAGCCCAGGGCTCCACAGTCACAGTGGGCTTCCCCGGTGGCTCAGATTGTAAGGAATCTGCCTGCAATGCGGGAGACGAGGGTTTGATCCCCGGGTCAGGAAGATCCCCTAGAGAAGGGAAAGCAACCCACGCCAGTATTCCTGCCTGGAGAAGTCCATGGACAGAGGAGCCTGGTGGGCTGCAGTCCATGGGATTGCAAAGAGTCGGACATAATCAAGCGACTTGCACACACACACACATACAGTCACCACCGCTGGTGGTTCCCTCCAAGACCACACCTTTGTAAATAGACCCTCTCTGAACTGTCCTAACATATCAGCAACTGGGACCCTGGCCGACACACGCTGACGTTTTAGCAGCTTTTTCGGAATTTGCTTTTATTTTGTTTAGGGTTTTGCATTTATGTTCCCGAGTGAGATTGGCCTGTAAATTTTCCTTTCTTACACTGATTGAATGACTGCAGGGTTACCCTCAGACCTCATAGACTAAGAGAATCTGCCCCTTCTTTCCCTGTCCACCGGAGGGCTGTAGAAAGCTGGTCGTCTGTTCATTCAGAGGTTGGTAGAATCTCCTGTAAGATTCCCTGGACCCAGGGTTTTCTTTCCTTTTTGCTTATTGGTTGTGCTGGGTCTCTGTTGCTTCGAGGGGTCTTTTCTAGCTGTGGTCCCCGGGCTCCAGAGCACAGGCTCAGTAGTCGTGGTTCCTCTATGGTTCTATGGCCTGTGGGATCTCCCCGGATCAGGGATCGAACCCATGTCTCCTGCGTTGGCGGCGGAGTCTTTACCACTCAGTCACCAGGGAAGCCCCCGGTGTCTTATTTACGGGATGATATTTAACTACTGAGTCATTTTTTAATAGTTTGGGACTTGTTGAGAATTCTGTTTCTTCTTGAGCTAGTTTAGGAAGCTCCACTTCGGTGAATTTATCTGTCTACATTTCCACATTTATTGCCACAACATCGTTCATGCTGTTCTCTCGGTGTTTCATCTCACGTGTATTGTTAGCTATTTCCTGTCAGCACTTGGAAGGTATTCCACTGGTTTCTGTTCCTACTGTTGAGAAATCTGCTTTAAATGGAATCGTGGGGATGTCCCTGGCAGTCCAGCAGTTAGGACTTCACATTTCTGATAGGTTCCATCCCTGGTTGCGAAAGTAAGNAGTATTCAGGACTGATTTCCTTTAGGATGGACTGGTTGGATCTCCTTGCAGTCCAAGGGACTCTCAAGAGTGTCGCAAATGACACCCAAACTACTTAGCTCATGATGCTGGGCCTGTTGGTCCCTGGCTTTGCTCACGGGTGGTTCTTGTGGCCCAGGTTGTACATGGGTCATCGGTGGGTCTCGGGTGGTTCTGCCCTTGGGGGCCAACAGGCTTTTGGCTGGGACGGTAGGGTGACTGGGACACACATATTTTTGTCATCTGGCAGGCTGGCTTGGGCCCGTTCACTTGGTGGAGGCTGGGCTCCAAAGAAACAGTGGATGTGAATGTTTGCACTGCATTTCACTCGTCAAAGCCGGGGTAGACAAACATGCTCCAGCTCTCAGTGGGAGGAGGTCACGTCAAGGGGTGTGGGTGCAGGCCAGAGACATGGCAGTGTGTTTTAATCTTACATGCTTTCTGTACCCGTCTGCTGGGACTGCTGTAACCGAAGGCCACAGAAGGGACAGCTCACACAATAGATATTTATTTTCTCGTGATTCTGGAGATGAAGCTCAAAATCAAGATCCAGTGAGGTGGGTTTCTGGGGAGACTCTCCTCCAGGCCTTCCTGCTGTGTCCTCACATGGCCGTGCCTGTGCATGAGCTGAGACGTATAGAAAGAGAGAGAGAGAGAGAACTGCTCCCCCTCCTTAAAAGGCCGAAGTCCTATGGGATCAGGGCCCCACCCTTATGACCTCATTTGACCTTTGCTGCCTCCTTAGAGATCCCATCTCCACACACAGTCACCTTGGGGTTAGGGCCACACCAGGTGGATTAGCCGGTGTCCGTAACGCCTATCTCACCACACGATGAATGAGTGTAGGAGACCGCAGGGCTGGGAGGTGGCGGTTGTTACTCCCGCCCACACTCCGCTGGCCACAACTCCTTCCTGCGGCCCCGCCTACCTGCAGGGAGCTGGGACTTGCAGAGGGGCGACTCAGAGAGTCACTCGGGTGGAGGCAGGCGGGGTGTTGGCCACTATCAGCTGGTGTGTGTCTTTCTCCAGCCTCACTGAGCACCCGGAGACACAAGACAAGGAGCCTGCCCCTGGTCCCAGCATTCTCTTGCATTTGTAAAACTCAGGGTCACCTTGAAAGACGCTCACACACATCCGCTCATTCAGGTGTGTGCTCAGTCGCATCTGACTCTTTGCGACCCCATGGACTGTAGCCCGTCAGGCTCCTCTGTCCATGGGATTCTCCTGGCAAGAATACTGGAGTGGGGTTGTCATTCCCTTCTCCAGGGGATCCTCCCGACCCAGGGACCGAACCCAGGCCTCCTGCACTGCAGGCAGATTCTTGACCGTCTGAGCCCCCAGGGAGGCCTGTCATTTAGGAGCTCATCATAATAGCGTCGGCAGGAAGGGGAGACGGGCCAGAGGAGTCGTAGAACGGTTAAAGTTCATGTGGGTGTCGAGTGTCAGGTGCGGCGTCAGATGGCGGGTCCCTGCAGAGCCACTGATGGGGTGACCGTGCCCTGTGGCCCTGGGGTCTGGCCGTGGTGGCAGTGTCCTCGGCGGTGACGTCCAGCAGCAGCCCCCGCGGCTGTGTGATCGGCGGCTCTGACCCGTGGTGGTGGCGGGCTTCTCGGAAGGCAGCGGCCATGGCCCGTGGCGGTGCAGTCTGGCCTCGCAGTGGTGCAGAGCTGGGGTGGCGTCTGGTCCCCGGAGCGTGGTTGTGCTCCCCACCTCCTGCAGCTCCTGCTGATCCCCGCCCACCCTGGGTTCCACTTGAGGCCTGGCGATCTTCCCACAGATCCCTTCCTGCTTCAGTGACCAGAGTCAGCTTCTGCCACTTGCCACCAGCGACTCTGGCTGCCACGGCTGAGGGGGCTGTCTGAGTCTGCTTAGGCAGCTATGACAGAAATACTGTACACTGTCAGGCTGAAACAACAGATGCGGTTCTCAACAGTTGCTGAGGCCGGAAGTCAGAGATCAGGGTGCCAGCCTGCTTGGGGTCTGGGGTGGGGGCCCTCTTCCGGGCGCGCAGATGGCTGCCTCTAGCTGTGTCCTCAGTGTGGGTGGGG